GGGATTAGAGGTGTATGCCACCATGCCCATCCTAGAATTTATAAATTTTTATTCTTTCAACATTTGGGGATAGCTTAAATATTATTGAATTATCTGTTATTTCAAGGTTAAGTAGTAGAAAATTATGTTGTTAGATTGCTCATTTATATTTGGGACAACTTGGTGAACTACATTTTGTAAAGATTTTAATCTAAGTTTTTAAATATATTACCATGTAGTTGTTTGCTATCTCATTATTTTTGTTTTTATTAATTAGCTGATTTTATTTATGTTTACTTTTTCTAGATTTTTGAATATTGTGCTTAATTTTCATTTAATTTTTCAGTACTTTCTAAGTACTTCATAATAAGTTGTAATTATGGAAGTCTTGGTCCTTCTCTAAGTGATCAACTCTGTGTGTTCCACAGTTCTTGGAGAACATGTATCATCCTTCACCAGAATTCATAGTTCAATGTCCAACTATAAATCCACATTATTGATTGTGTGGTTCATATCTTCTGTTTCCTAAATTTTGCTTCCTTGGCTCCATCATGGACTAAGAGAGAAGTGTTAAGACCTCTGACTATTTCTCCCTGACTCTATATAGTTTCTGCTTTGTAAAAGTGGTTAATATGCAATTGGATGCATAGATATTAATAACCATTCTACATCTTCACTGTGAATCATAATGTGTACCATTTAAAAGTGCCTTTCTTTTCGTTACTTTTTTTCTTGAGTTCTACCTTTACTAATGGCAAGAGTTCAACTGTGCTTTCTTTTATATTTACATTTGCCTTGTTTCTTTTTGTTTCATTTTTAATACTTTTACTTTTGACCTTCTTATATATCTTTTAAACGTGTCTTTTGTGTATAAGATATAGTTGAATTTCACATTATTGCTTATTCTGATAATCTTTTTCTTTTAATGTGTGACTTAAATTCACTCACTTTAATTGATATGCCTTGCATTTAGCTCAGTTTTGTGATATTATTTTATTTAAATATGAGCACTGACATAGTGCTTTATATTAGCAAAACAATATGCTTATTCCACCTGTCTTCTCAACTACTTCATTCCTATTTTATGATCTTAGCTCCACAGCTAAAGATGTAAGATGTTTGTACCAGTTTTATACTGAATTGTTTCCAATAATTTAGGAGGTATTTTACCATATTCAGAGGGTATCTAGGGTTCTGTAATCCACCAATTAATTCCACCAATAGAGCTCCATACTACAAAGTAACAGTAAAAGGAGCCTTATGTATCTCAACTCTGACTATGGTAATATGCCTTTTGATTTTAGTAGCCTACAGAATATTCACTTTCATTTTTTCTTACTAGTAGAGTCTTCACTTTATTTATTTTGTTAGAAAAATTTTTGGTATACCTAGGCATTGAACTCAGGGCCTCATGTTTGCCAGGCAACTGTTTTACCACTCAATTCACACCCTTAACTCTTTTGCTTTAGTTATTTTTCCAGATAGCCTGCCTAGGTCAACCTCAGACTGTGAGCCTTCTCCCTCTGCCTCTCTATGGGATTATAGTCTTGCACCAACCCATACGGCTTGTTCTTTGAGAGGATCTCAGAAACTTTTGCTGGGACTGGCCTTGAACTGTGATCCTCCTACTTCATTTTATATGGGATGCAAAATATCCAGCTGAAATACAACATTTCTCACACACTTTTGTAGTCAATACAGGTCATGGATAAATTTCTGGACAAGAAGACATAATTGAAAAGGAAATGGAAATTAAAACCACACTAAGATTCCACCTCACCCCTGTTAGAATAGCCATCATTAGCAACACCACCAACAACAGGTGTTGGTGAGGATGTGGGGAAAAAGGAACCCTCTTACACTGTTGGTGGGAATGTAAACTAGACAACACTCTGGAAAAAATTTGGAGGCTACTCAAAAAGCTAAACATTGATCTACCATTTGATCCAGCAATACCACTCTTGGGGATATACCCAAAAGACTGTGACACAGGTTACTCCAGAGGCACCTGCACACCCATGTTTATTGCGGCACTATTCACAACAGCCAAGTTATGGAAACAGCCAAGATGCCCCACCACTGACGAATGGATTAAGAAAATGTGGTATCTATACACAATGGAATTTTATGCAGCCATGAAGAAGACGAAATGTTATCATTGCTGGTAAATGGATGGAATTGGAGAACATCATTCTGAGTGAGGTTAGCCTGGCCAAAAGACCAAAAATCGTATGTTCTCCTCATATGTGGACATTAGATCAAGGGCAAACACAACAAGGGGATTGGACTATGAGCACATGATAAAAGCGAGAGCACACAAGGGAGGGGTGAGGATAGGTAAGACACCTAAAAAACTAGCTAGCATTTGTTGCCCTTAATGCAGAGAAACTAAAGCAGATACCTTAAAGCAACTGAGGCCAATAGGAAAAGGGGACCAGGAACTAGAGAAAAGGTGAGATCAAAAAGAATTAACCTAGAAGGTAACACACATGCACAGGAAATCAATGTGAGTCAATGCCCTGTATAGCTATCCTTATCTCAACCAGCAAAACCCCTTGTTCCTTGCTATTATTGCTTATACTCTCTCTACAACAAAATTAGAAATAAGGGCAAAATAGTTTCTGCTGGGTATTGAGGGGGTGGGGGGGAAGAGGGAGGGGGCGGAGTGGGTGGTAAGGGAGGGGGTTGAGGCAGGGGGGAGAAATCACCCAAGCCTTGTATGCACATATGAATAAAAAAAAAAAGACATAATTGAAAGACCGTGAGGGATTTCTGGAACATTTTGCTTTCTCTAAATTGATGTATTCTCTTCCTGAGTTCCAGTTCTACTTTCCTTTCCTTATTGTTTTCCTCTTCTTCCCATTTCCCTTTCTCATCCAACTCATTCTTATCCCTTTGCTTTTTCAACTTTCATTAAAAAGTAGACATGAGCTGAGAGATGGAGCAGCTGTATTTCAATTTTGAGGTAGACATGAGAGCAAAGACATTTGTTAATGATGACAGAGAAGAAACAAAAATGACCATGAGCTTTTTCTGACTTGTTTGCCCACGGCATGTTTGACTTCCTCCCTCTGGACTTCTTGTGTTATAAAAAACAAAAACAGACAAACAAAAAACCAAACCAAAATAGCTTTAAAACAACCCTCCTATTACTTTAGTCCCTAAAGTTTGGTTGGTTTTACATGAAATCAAACATAATACCTAATATATTTAATATCATTTCATTGATTATATGGCATTTTTATTCATTTCCCATCATCATAATTTAGTTTGCCTATGGATCCTAAGGGCTGAATAAGCTTTTCTGTTTTTGAACACTGGTAGCCATGTGAGCTTGACTCACATTCACTGTCTTACACTTCTCACCCTAGCTGAGTGCCAGTTTTCATAGCTGACTACCCTCTCTCTTTTGTCTGAGAATATCCTGTGTTTGGAAGGCTTTTGCCTAACTTAGAGTGTGCATAGAGATTCTCTCAAGGTTTTGACTCTGGCAACATGAGGCCACACTCACACAGACACACAGACACACAAACACAATTTCAGATGGGGCCTGATAAGTCATCTATGAGTACGCAAGTATGCACGACAACAATTAAATGAAAAAAACCCTGGTGAACATCAGGGAATTACTTTGAATTCCTTTAGCCAGAGCTTTGAAAACTACAGCTCTTTTATTTCCCCAGTTGCATGTCAACATCAGCACAGCCTTCTTCTAATAGCTTAAAAAAACCTTCTATTACTTTAGTCCCCAAAGTTTGGTTGGTTTTACATGAAATCAGACATAATACCTACTATATTTAATATCATTTCTTTGCAAATAAACTAACAGAAACCCCACTTTGAGAATATGGTTGTGTAGCCTGTGAACATCCCACTCTGAAATGCTTTGGAAGAAGATGTTGTGGTTTTGGTTCTAGAGAAGTCAGCAGACACAATCCTGATACATGCAAAGGCAACTTTTGCCCTGAGCAGTTTCATAACAACATAGGATGAGAACTTCAGGATCCTATTATTACTGAGGATTTGCTCATAAGGCAAATCCAGCATTGTGTATAAGATATGATGATGCTTAGATGATTTTAAACATTATGTCACCCTAGGAACTTAGACACAAAGAACTTACATGATCTGTTCGGCTAGCATTGGCCTTACTAAGATAACTCTACTCTTACATTTTCTATTCATTTCAGAACTCATCATTATGTAAATGAGTGAGAGTGAATATGAAAGTTGTTACTTCAAATTCACCACTACTGATCAAAGTAAGTAATTTATAAATCGTGGAATCTTGTTAGTGTATACATGTACCTTATTGGGATAAGGATGTTATAGAGGAGTGCTGTAGAGATAAAGAGAGGTGACAATGCTGTGCAGAGCAATGAAAAATCTTGGGCATGTCAGTCTGCATCAGGCTGAATCCAGTTTCAGCCATTGCAGAACTGGGAGGTTGGGGTGCAGGTCACTTTGGTCAAATTCAGAAAGAAGTCTGCTGGTGCCAGGCAGATGAGTTGTGTGAGTAAAGTAGACAAAGGTAAGTGCCTAGATGTGTGCATATCTAGGTAGGTGTGTGAGAATGAGCATGTGCGTTGGTGTGTAGGGGCAAAGTAGTCAGATGGGGAGCACCTGACCCTTTAGAAAGTGGCAGCTCTGGGCTGGAGGTGTGGCTCATGTAGTATAGCATCTGCCTTGTAAATGTGAGGCCCTGAGTCCAAACTCCAGCACCACCAAAAAAGTAAAAAAAGAAAAAATTGAAAAAAAGTGGCAGTTGTTTTTCTTAGTTTCAGGAAAGATTTGACTTTTTGGGTCTGGTACTGCCAGATGACTTGTTTTTCTCAAGATAAAACATACATCAGTATTTTGATGTGCAAGATCCTGGTTTTTTCAATGTTGACTTGAAGTGTTAGAGCACTGTGTAGGCTTTGACAACATGGAGCCCTGTCTGTGCATCACAATTGGGTTACTTGCTTAGGAGGTCAGCTTGGGAGGGGGGCAGGTAGAGATAAAACAGACAATAGTAAAGAAGCTTGAAAATTTTATTTAAATTTGTTTTTGATGCATTGAAAGCCAAGCATGTTTATGATAAAGGCTTCAAGAAGGAGGTTCTCTTTCCAGTTTCACCCCTGTGGCTACCAGTTCTTCTCTCCTCCTGGTATTGCAATGCAGATAAGTTGTGACTGGAATAATTTACATTTACAGATGTTATCATAGAAAAATAATTTCATTGCTAAATGTAAACAGCTTGAGGAACTTCAAAATAAAAGAAAAGAATAGAATCCAGCTATTTTATATTTTAGAGCTGATATTTTAGCAATATTCTGATAGTAGTTTATTCTATGTACAACCTCTTGGCTACACAATGCTGAATGAGAAGGCATGCAAAAGCAACATGGTTTCAGAAAATGCCTCTTAGAGTTACAGAACTTAAAATTTCAACATCCCAAGTGGCTGGCAGGTGATGTTGTAAAGATGGTCCTGAATAATGACATACTTATTTCCTAGAGACAAAAAATAAAAATAATAACATAATTATAATGAGTTGATATTGTTAACTTATGCAGAGACATTTCAATGATTTTTAATAAAAGATGTTTATCAGTCCCTTAATCTGTTAATCCCTTAGTCTTCATATGTTGTCATTTAAAGATGATTTATCTAAAGTCTGCTCATTAAATTAATAAAGATCTATTAATAATTAAAAGCAATTAAAGTCTATCAATAATGAGTGATATTTGGTGTCTAATTTTTACAACTATCTTTTAAAATTAAGTAAACAGTGCCATTTATACTGGCATTTTACCTTCGTGTTAAAATTTCAGTATCTATAGAAATTTTAATGTGACATTAATATGTGAATGACTTAAAATATCTGTTCACATTCTTTGTGTTAATTGTGTATTGTCTCTCATAGCCTCTCAGTAAGTGTTTTTATTTAGAATAAATGGTTTAATCAATAAAACTGTAATGGCAAAAAAAGAAGTACAATGATGTACTCTTAAATGATTTAGACATTCATAATTTTTACTACACAACAAGAGAGTAAACACTCTCTTCCCCACATGGGAACAACTTGTAGAAATATGACAATCAGTATTTATGGAAGTTTTAATAGTATCCAAAAATAATTGAAAAGCAATCACCTGTCAGTGATTTTGGTCTGAATCAGCCAGTTGATAAAGTCCCTGGTGGCAAGATTATCAAGAACGGTGTTCATCTCATCGGAGAAAGAGCCGTCGGCATGTCTGCGGCGGAGTTCTTCAACGATGGTGACTTCTTCTGGAAAGCTAAGAAAATGAGGGTTGAAGTTTGTGTTTGGTTAGGTATTTTAAATACACACTTATGGACTGTCCACTACTCTTAACGTGTCCAAGAGTTGTTGAGAATATAGAACAGAATTCTATGTATAGAGGGCCTATGATGAAAGTCCTCATAAAAAACTTCTGTTAACTGGAGAAGGTTGAAAGGTAAAGTTTGCAAAGCTAAGATCAGAAAGCAAGCCTGTCTAACTTCATGCCCTTTTCAGTTCTCCAGGTTGCTTCAAAGGCTTTAGTATCTTGGCATCACAGAAACTATTGCTGAGACTGTTAATTTGTCTAGAGCAAAATACATCATACCTTATAAAACCAGAGGTTGTGAAAACGGCCTTGCAAAATGAAGTATTAAAGAATTAAAACACTTTCACTGATTTGCCATAGCAGAGTTTTGGTATTCTTTATAACACTACAACATCTCTTTAATTTTAGCATTTTTTAATGTTAATGTTTTAAAATCAGCCACAATACTAGCTCCTTTTCATCTTGAAATCTCTTTAAGTCTCAGTAAGTATGCTTTAAATCTGGTTTAACATCAGAGTTGAACACAAATTTCCTGCCTCTTATATTTCAAGTGCCAATCAAAACGGTCGCAACAAAGCGAGATGACTTGGGTCTGTTTGGTTGTAAGATTCAAGTGAGTAACGAAATAACTCAGACTCATTTTTGACTTTGATATTTTGATGGATAGCTATGTGACTGCTCCATAAAAACTGAGTATGTGGTAAATATATGCATGTTTCTACATATCTGTACCCTGAGTGTCGTTTCATTAATATCTTATGTGTGGTATTTTTAGTCTTCATCACATGTTTGTCTAAGTATTTGTTAACACATGAATATGTTGATCACGTATGTAATAATTTTAAGTCAAACCTTGATAGTTTTACATGAACATTGAAAATATTTAAAGTTTCCAAACTATCTTTTATCTGTAGCTTTTCTGTGACAGTCCTCGTTGAAATTTGTTTTCCCAGAGTAGTTATCAAAAGCATATTATTTATTCTCAAATGTGTTCTCATTTGGATGAATCAATACCTAATTATAACACAATTTTAATGGGGGGATAAAAATGTGACTTGTTGGACTCCATTATTAACACTTGCTACCAAAACTTGTGTATTGTTTCTCAACAGGAGTTATTTCCTTACTTGGTGTGACTAGTGATCGCTTCCGTAATCCAGATCCATACATAGATAACTATAGTCTTAAATTTCTGCAACAAGGGAAAAATGCCAGATAAGAATGTAGAGACTTACTCTCGCCTTCCTCGGCCTTTCACCAGCCAAGCAATGAATTCCTTGGCAGCCTGGCCTTCCAAATAAGAACTTACATCACTGGTAAAGGTCCCTTCAGCATGTCTCTCAAATTCATCATGACGTTTGGCAATGTTATTCCTGAAAGAAATGTGAAAGTTACATTGAAGCTCTGTCTCTTTGGCAATATGGCTCTCACCTCCAGGTTTGGCATTCAGAGCAGAAGGGGCTTAAGGAGTTGGGGAGATGAGGGTGGTTAGGTGATTCATTTTAAAGTTACATTAATGATCTGGATTGAATATTGGTGGTAGAGGCTAATAACTTTTCAGAAGAGACTAAAGTGCTCCCTTCCTTCCTACCATATCCGTTTTCACTGGCCCTGTTTTCCTGTGCTATTGATTATTAAAGGTGTATTACTTTTCACTTTATTTTCAATAGATGTAGGCTATTTACTGTGCTGTGCTACTTATCAGCAAGATAGGTGATTGTTACTAGTAAGTGTGATGTCAGAGTTAGTTAAATGGTTCAAGGGAAAGCAAAGAACCATCTTGAAATGTCATCAAAAGAACCACATGATAAGAGATTTTAAAAATGTGTGATCTGTAAAGAAGATGATCCCATATTAGCTGGAAATGTGTGCAGAATACTCTCAACGTGTATTATCCCTGAAAAGTTTCATCTTAAACATACAGCAAATACATTAGAATGAATATATTGAATACTTATTGAATACTGAGTAAGTGAATACTTATCAATTTGTAGCATTCCCATTCTAGAAAATGAGAACAGTTGTTTTCATTTCTATAAATTTGTGATTTTTCACATTTCTCTGATTCCCCCCATAGTTCTTCACAGGGATACCTTCCAGTGTCCAGTCTGTGTGACTGCCATCTTTCTTATAGTTGAATGCCACACTTTAAGGTTAACTTTGGCCAACAATTTGTTTCTTCCATTCCTCCTGTTTGCTTGTGCTCTTGCTCTCCTGTTATCACTCCCTCTTTCTCCCTTCTCCTTCTATCCAGACAAATCTATGTCCTTTTCCTGATTTATAGATTCCTTCAGCTACTTTGTATGCATAAGTCTCTTCCCCTTGTGGGCCACCCTCCAAAGAAATTGTGAAATTCCACCATCTCTGTGAAACCCTTGTGGATGATTTTCTCCAGTAGCCTAGAAGTAACAAAACCCCCAACACTCGTCAAAGAAAATCCTACATTAAAATGTATGCCTTATGATAGGTTTGTGTTCTTATTTGCTGCCTTCTCTCTTTATGCTTTGCAGCTAGCTCGGCTGTAATTTTAAATGCATATCTTGGATTTTATTCTACAAGAAAAGGAATGCATCTGTTTCTATTCCTTACCATGATTAACTTGGCTAGGGGATAACTTTAATGTGATCACAGTCATGGGTTTGAACCCCATGAGGGAATGTTGAATTTTCTCTGACTTTTAGTGAGAAATTAAATTTCTAACCTTGCAAGTCCACAAAAATCAGTTTTCAATTTTAAGGTAAAATGGATGAGAGGAAATGTTACTAAGACTACAACTGGGAAAATGATTTAAAATCTATGTCACATTTGGAGCATGGGTAAGTCATTTGGAGAAGTGGAGGGCGAGACATTCAGAGGTATGACGTAAAGGACAGTATCTCCAACTTTGAAAATCATTAAAACTGAAAAAGCTTATGGGCACTCTTTGATGAGCATGATAATTTCAGAAAGTCAGAATTAAACAGACATTTAATCCATTTGTTTACAATTTTTGGAGTAGGTTTAAGCTCTTACCTGTTCCTCTTGGTATTCATCAACCACTGCACAAAGTCTTGGGCACGCCTGGAGTCCAGATATTTGCTGTAGTCACTGGTGAATGTGCCCTGCGAATGGCGCTTGTCTTCAGTCATCTGGTCAGGATCACTAAGTGGGTCTGTCTGGGAAGCTGAAAACGATCTGTGAAGAACATTCACTGGTTCAACATAAATCTCTCCAAGAGTAGACTTATTTGAGAAGCACCTTCACTAAAAAATATAGGACCACATTGCAGGAGTAAGACAGACATTTTGGTAGATAGTTTAGAGAGACCTCAGGTTCTCATGGGAATCTCATAGATTTAGTGCAGTTGAATACTCTCGTATCTCTTATTCTGAATTCTAGTAACAGATTTCTCAACTTACTTCATTTTTTTCCCTGAAATATGATTAAATAGTCTTTTAAAACTAATTAATCTTCTCATGATTATGCTAATAGTGACAGAAGATAGTAGTGACTTGAATATTTTAAAAGAGTAAAGAATCCCAAATCACTTGTTTGGGCAGCAGATTTTTGTTCCTACTTTGGTTTTGCATATATTAATATAAAAACATAGCTCAATCACCTAGTGAGATATGGAGGTTAATGGTTGAAGAAAGGCGGGCACAAAATAGAGGTCACTTGCTAATTTGAAATGTTATAGTGGGTAATCCTTATGCCAGTAGCCAACAGTTGATTGGCATGGGTAAATATATGGAAAATATTCAATGTGTTTAATACCCAGAAATGAGATACTATTTTTACCTATAAAAGTAAAAAAGACTAAATATTGGGGAGGATAAAATATTTGTATCCTGCTGATGAAAATGTCCATGTACTTTTCCAGGAGGCTAATCAGCAAGATACTTACTCAAACCCTTTGGTTTAAACTCATTTAAGTCCTTTGATATAGTAATCTCACTACTAGAAATCTATCCTGAAGAAATTGTAAGAGATGCAGGGGAAAGTGTCTACGAAAAATGTTATTTACAATATTCTTTATGGACAAATTTGAAGACTTCTTAATGCCTAACAGAAGACTATCTCAATAAATACTGTACCTTTAGGGGATGAAATAGTATGTAACTCTTAATATTACACACTTAATAAAAGAAAAAACTAACAATATAATGTTAAGAGAAAAAAGCATAATACAAAGCCATATCACTGAGAGATATTTACATTCAGTATAGATGGATAAAATCCAGGAAAGTCATACACCACTTTTCTTTATTTTGAATAGTTTTCTTTGGATAGTGGAAATTTGAATAGTTATATTTTTGCATAGTTTTCATATTCTACATCATGAACACGTATGATTTTTACAATTAGCAAAGAACAATTCCATTTTAAAGGAGTACAAATGAAAAAAGAATTAGTGAGAATAATTAATCTCTTATGCAGTGTGTGAATAATGAATAGATAGAGAGGATTATCTGAAGGACTATAATTTCCCATTTATGTGTTTTTCAACATTCTCCACCTCTTTGATTATGAAACAACACACACTATGGTTTGTACTCTAGAGAAGCCTACTTTAATCACCTTGATACTTTAAATATTTGAAAATCGAGCCGAGTATTTACTCCAAATCATTGAGACTTTATTCATTAATCATGGTTCTCACAGGCTTTAGTATCACTGTAGTACTATAATCGTCCAAGTCTAAAGATTAAGTACCTGGGTTTCTCTTCTGTGTCTTGGAGAGAATGCTGCCAGCTGCCTTGTACCAGCATTATAAATAATCCAGCCACATAGTAAATGTTCTTCATTTTTCTGCCTGTCAGAGCACAGAATGGGGGAGAGGCAGTGGAAGGATAGGGCAAGTGGGAAACCACATTTAAACATGTCAGGTTAGGTTTGATTTTGACTGGGTAAATATCATAAAAAGAAAAAAAGCTAATTCTATCAATTTATTCTTATTATAGTTCCAACTTAATTGCAAATACATTATATTTTCCCTAGATTTTTGGACACCAAAAAAAAAAAAAAAACCCAAAAGGATGTATTCTGCTATTAAGCTTTTTCATTAATGTAGGACACTTCTGATAATGATTAGAAGGCTTGTTTCCAAGCTTAAAATTAAAAATGTCCACAGTAAATGTTTAAAATACTCACTGTAGATGATACGCTACATATGGTTAGCCTGAATGGCACCTTATCCATAATGCCACCCCCTTCGCTATCAGTCTGGCTTTCAATTAATAGTCCTTCACTTCCAAGCATTTACATTATACTGCATTTCAACCATCTTAAAGCAGCCTCAGGCTACAACTTGGCATACCAGCTGTCGGTTCAGATGTATTATTCATTTATATTTTAAATAGTGTAACTTGGTCTAGACTTTGTAATTATAAAGCGGCCAACAGATTTGAGGTATTTTAGGGTGCTTTGACCTGTTCTAAATTAAAGGGAAAAATCATTTTAAAGACAAGTAATTTGCAACAAGAACTAATGCTTCTGGCAACTTGAACAATCACAACTAAGAAATCAGAGATTAGTATAATAAAGAAAATTAGCGCTTGCTTCTGAAGTCTTAGAAGTTATCAGGCTTGGTAATTGGGCTTAGTCCAGGACATGACATTTTTCTGTTAGTAACACCATAGACCTGGTTGTAGGATATACCTGATTTCCTGTTCTTGAATCATAAGCAGAAGTCCTGTGAAGCCATCAGGTGTTAAGGATGTGATGAGGCAGTGAGGATGGGGACAGGGACCAACACGAATGTCACAGAGTGTCCCTATAGAACAGGGTCCTCTGGAAATGTCAAGTCCACTATTTATAATGGACTTTCTTCTGCTACTTGAAACTCAATCATTCTTTTTTTTTTTTTTGAGAAATGGGGATTTCAATCCAAGTTTCATTATGTTTATCCATAAATAATTTGAATGAGTATTTTTAGCAAATGACATTTGGTTTGGAATAAGGATTTTACAAATATTATCATCTTAAACTATAAATCTTTTCTTTAACATCCAAGACATATTTACTATCTATCTCTGGCAATGCAATAGTGTAAAACCTGCAACTGTAACTTCTTTTTTTCCCTTGAACTATTAAGTCCTTGTAGGTTAAGTGGCTAATTAGACAAAGCAACTCAGTAGAAATCATGCATATACCCTTCCTATTCATCTGCATTAAATTTCTCTCTTGGCATTTGCTATGGTTTGGCTTAACCAGTTGGCAAACTTTAAAAATCTTGCCATACATTTAGATAGTATCTCCTGATTGTAACTCTCAATTATAAAACAAGCTTTTGCCTTTCAATTATACCACTATTTGAAAGTTTCCAATTTAGTCCTAAGTAGTTCCTTCTACCCAAAGTCCCTAAAGGTATTGAAATGTCTTCTATCATGTTATGTTGCAACAGATTTAGAGCAAGTGGTATTGTGTCACTGTGAGAGCTGTTGGAAGAAGAAATAACCAAAAAGACATGAGTGCTCTAAGTCCTCTAATCCAATCAAATGAGTTCTACAGAAAGAACTGGCTTTAAAATTTTCATTTATTCAGTTTTGAAAGTTAACAGAATTGTGAACAATTAATAGTTAGTTCATTGCTTCAATACCATTGCTGAGGAAGTAAATATTTTAGTTATTTGAGGATCAAAATTTTATTCAATAAGAACAGGGTTTTCAATTGTTTTCCTCTTTAGGTAACCTTAGGAGAGAGGATGCTGAAGAAAGTATGACAACAGCAGTATTCTCTGTCTAAGAAGTCTTTTAGAGAGATCAACTTTTTATTTAGGAAAAAGGCATTATATCTCTAAACATATTGGTGTTGTTGAATAGTTTTAAAATTCATCATTCATTCCATAAGAGATCCCTAGTATATAACGGAAAACACAACACTTAATCATTTACTCCATTGAGAACATTTGTAAATCTGTTCATTGCCTTTAAGAACTTAAATAGGTACTTTAGAACATCTGGTATTTTTTTCCAAAAGAGATGTACTAGACTTTTATTCCACAATATAGACATTTAAGATTTTATGTATAACTATTGGTCCTAAATACATAGCAATTATTAATTTATGGCTTTGCTCAGATCCATAGAAAGAAATCCCTAAAAACCAGTGATGCTTGTTCTTTGCACCAAATGTGCTATGTCTTATTTACAAAGAACTGGTTTCACAGGCATTGATTTTTTTGATAGACATCAGAAATCTGAATATTTGAAAGATGGTATTGATGTGCTCTTTTGGAAAACCAGGGATTTTAATTGATAAAGAAAAATTGCTCTAGTAGCCTCTGTAATGGAGACATTTCTGCTGAATTTAAAAGTGCCTTCTGTTCAACATAGTATACACATCTATCAAATGCAAGGAAAAATACTTATTTTTCAGAATGTTTCTACTTATTTGAACACAGACTTCTTGTAACAGTTAAGTCTTATAACAAATGCATTGATCTGAATCTTTATTTTTTCTATTTTATATTTTTGCATTAAATTATTTCTCTGAACTACTTTGGGCTTCATTATGTTAAAGTAGGTCTAAATATATTTGGTAACATTTTTCAACTCAATTCTGCCCTGCATATTATTAGCAACAAAATAAAAGATAAAAGAACAACACTTCAATTCATAATACTTAAAAATATTTAATTGCCCCCAAGATGGGAGTCATAATTTCGCAGCCCTCCATGTTAATCTTACCTTCTGATACTGTGGTGTGGAGCGGAGCTGGTGTAGAGAGCAAGCCCTCTTGGAACTTGGATGCTGCTCTGTGCCCTGAGCTCTGCGCTTCTGAACCAAGGCATCCTGCTTTTATATGCTCTCCAGCTCTGTTTAGCCTCACAGATATTATGCTGACAATATAAATTTCTCATCTGTAAATAATGGGTTTTTGTTACAAATGATTTCACTCGCCCACTCACTTTGCTCATCTGCATTCTACGCTTATATTGGGTGAGACCTCAGAGATCCGGAAACTTCTTATTTGCTTTTGTGTCTTTGTGTGTTGAGAATGGAAAGGGCAGGTTGGAAATTCACCTTCCATTCTTGGTCAGGCATGAAATCACTTAGGTTCTTTGAAGTGCATTTCAATGTTAAAGAGCATGGCCTCGTTTGAGGGTGTTATAAGTCCCTTGATTGCCTTCTTAGCCATGTTGAAGTTGTAATAAGTCACTTATTCATCTAGCCAAATAACAAACCATCCTTTCAGCTCATACTTACTAAAAATCTACTCATCTACACTATGTAGAATTAATTTGTATGATTTTTATGGGGAATTTTAAAGGATGTCAATTAAGACTTGGCATGCCTTGTTTTAATAAAATGAATTCAGGAAGAGAAGATAAAGCAAAATGAGGACTAATCATCAAAAATAGGTGATATTTAATAACACAGCATCTAGTCTTCCTTTTTGACACTTTTTTATGTTCTTTCAGTCCCTCTGATAGTACTGCCAAGCAATAGATATTTTGAAGTCTAACTACAGGGTAGTAGACTACAAAAGAATGAGATGAGGAAAACTGTAGTGATGCATCCTGTCATATTTGCTAACTTTTGTGACTTGTCATATAGGCCCTCAGTGATCTGTAGAACATAGCACATATGATTCTGGCCATTTTGGAGGCATTGAAATATGGTAAATAATCTAGACAGATAACACAAGAACTACTGAAGCATCATTAGATTTACTCCTCTGCTATCACAAGCTGTGGGACCTTGCCCAGGTCACATGCCTCTGCTACAGATTTCTAAAATAAGAGGAGTGGTTAAATGTCCTTTTAACAATAAAAATCTTATTCCATATGACAAAATCATCACATTTCCTAACTAGATCTCAATATTCTAATCTAATCAACTACATGGTATAACTGGTGACATGCATGGAAGTAGACCATTAAGGCAACTGAAGAAATATTTCGAATGAAACAAAGTCTTCAATTTTTGCATTAGACCAGTTGTTGGATACAAAGCTACCAAAGGGAATGCACATCCATTTCCATTTCAAGTTGGGAGACCGCCCTGAGGAGTTTGTGCTGGTGATTATTGTGGTATAATGCCTTGGTATTTAGAGGAGATCCAAGGACTATCATTACATGAAAGCTTGCCACAAATTCAGTATCTAATGCTCCAGCCCAGACTTACAGAATCAGGATCTGCATTTTAACAGATCCACAGGAAATTTATGTACATCTTATAGTTTGGAAGGTGTAGCTGCATAAAATATCTACCTAACTCTCTTCACCTCTTCACTAATGCTGCTGGTGTCTTGATCAGAAGGCTACTTCTTGGCAGTACCAGCAGAGGGGGCAAAAGAGCAGAGAAAGGTGTCAAGCCTTTGGTTCCTCTAGAGCCACACAAATGCAATAATTATGGCTTCACGTGTTGATTGGTTTAATATGGTAATAAATTGTCCTTTCTAACTACAATCTTCATGAGCATAATAGCTTTATTTTCATCAAATGTTTTGACAAATTCAGCTCTATTTTTTCTGTTGTCTATTTGAAACCCTTCCTTCATTCCTCTCTCTCTCGTTCCTTCTCCCCCCCATCTCCTATTCATCTCCAACTTCCTTTTTCTCCTTTCTTTTCAGATACCATCTATTTATGGGGCATCCCTAAGCAGAGACCTCTGCTGATGGGGTATGCTACAAAGCTTTTAATATAGTACCAATATTTTAGCAAATACCCTTTCCTAATAGTTCACTACAAAACACTTCTGTTTCTTCCACCCTAATTGCTTTCTATTATTTTAGAAGCAAGTATCCCAACTTTTTTCAGGAAATTCTCTAACTTCACCTCTAACCCATCTGTATAGATTCTTGGGGACTCCCCAACACCAGGCTGATAAGCATTATGAAAATATAGAAGCATTAAGAACCCTTCTGTATGATGCACTGCTCTCTTCCCTCAGGAGAAGTCAGCTTCTTGATGGGCACTGTGTTGTCAGACATTAAGACAATCACCAAGTTCAATTTGGGCATGCAAATCTTTCAATGATTATCTTAACAACAGCTTCTACTTGGTCTTCAATTCCTATCACTACAGTGATTCAGTTATTTAGATGGGAAGTAGGGAAAGTTATAGCCCTGTGTTTATATGAGTAGTGTACAAATCTGTCAGGAAGCAGAGAAGTTCTGGGAAGTTCTTACACCAGGCAGCATGGGAGTCCCAGCTTTGCCAGGGGTGTTTGCCACATAATGGTTCTGAAGTGCCTTTCTGAAAGGTCTGTTTGACTTGTTGCAAATAATGTAAAACATAATTATTATAAACATTTACATCAACGCTTAAGATAAATAAAAGACTCATTAAAAGATTGTTTTGGGGTTCTTTATGATGCTTAGGACTGGTGACAACTTCTGTGGATTTGTAACCTGTGCAGTTGCACAGGGCCACATGCATAGAATGATCCCATGGTTGCCTACTGCTTTCTTCTTACCATCTTGAAGTAGGTTTTTTTTTAAACAAGGTTTCACATTTTTATTTTGCACGTGGCTACACAAACTGTGTAGTTGGTCTTGATTAGCACATTGCCTTACAAAACACTGGGTGTAGGGTAGCTGTATATTTTTTGCAGTTGTTCAGGATATTTAGAATGAAATGTTTGTGAGTGGCAAAGATCCAGATTCACAATGCACTCTGGTGGCAAGTAGGACTCTCATGCATTGCTAATGGGAGTACAAAGTATTACAACCCCTTTGGAAGGCAATTTGGTAATATTTATCAAATTTACCAATATTGATAGCCGTTGGCTCAGTAAGGAGAAAGCCCTATTCTGAAATTTTAACCCAAACATACTCCTTCCTACATAGATAAGTAATGATGTAGGCATAAGGTTTTTAAATATAGTTTTGTGTATAATAGTGCCAGTTTAGAAATAATCCAAGGAACCATCTATAAAGTACTGTTTACCAAAAATGAATAAATAAATACATAAATAAATAAAATGCAGATGCGTCTTGTTTACCAGTAGGGAAAGACTCTAAGATACATGGCTAGTTGAAAAAAATGTAGGTACCAAATGGGTATATAGTAGGCTAGCTTTTGTGTTTAGAAGAGAGGAGCACAAATACATATTTATTTATTCATAGTTGCATTAAAATAGGAAGAATTCACAAGAAACTGTTGAAAATGCTCACTTATAGGACACAGTGAGGAGCAGTGATGTAGAGAGGGACGGGGTACAAAGAAAACTTCTCAATTTACATTTATTATGTTAGATTTTTTTGATCTTTTGATTAAAATACCTATTCAAAACAACAAATGCAATTTAAAAAGGAGTGACAGTAAAATCACTTTGGAACAAGGTTAAGCTTTAGATCTAAATGTATAACTGCTCTTTGACCTAGCAATTCCTCTTCTAGTTATTGCATCCAAAAGAAATGAAAACATATGTCCACAAAAACACTCGCACAAAAATGTTCAAGGAAGCTTTACTTACAATAGTTAAAAACTGGAAAAAACTGAAGTATCCATTAACAAGAGAAAGAATAAGCAAATTGTGATACATAATTCTCATAGAATATTATTTAAAAACTACAAAAAAAGAACAATAGATATAGTCAGCAACATGGATGAGTTGCACAGACATTGTTCTGCATATAAGAAACTGGGCACACAAGAATAACTGCACATTTTCTGAATACAGATACAGAATCTCAAAAATAGACAAAACTAATTTTTAAATAAACCTTGGTCTTAGGTGTTTTTTGAAGGAAAGGAGAGGAGTGCCTGGGAGGGAACTTTCTGGTGAGATGGAAGCATTCTATGTTGTGCTACCAGACATATCTAATTGTCAAAAAATAGCAAGGCTAAGATTTGTGATTTCAATATGTGCAAATTTTACTCAAAGTTGAAAAAGAATTAATTTTAAAAGGAGTATGAGATGCATGTGAATAATAAATAGAAGCGGGACAGTATTGATTGTTCAAGTTGGCTGATTGATATAAACAGGGTGTATAATGTGAATTTACTTACTTGCTGTATGCTTGAACTTTTCAAAATTTAATAGTTAAAATAAAACTGTAATAAAATGATTGTAAGGGTGGGATATTAGCACCCAATTAATCAGTTGTCATTTTGGAAGTTAAAAGTTTGATCTTCTGTTACTAAGTAGAAGCTAGGCTAAGCGAGACACATATTAGCAACAGAAGTCAGAGGTAAAGTGGTTGCATAGGACAGGGTCTGGGTAACGGAAAAACACCCACCATGAAAACAGGGAGGTGAGCCATCATTTAGAGGGAATGGATTATGACTGCAGCTCCCTTCTGCTAGGTAGGACTCCAGGCCTGTCTTTGGATGTCCCTCTTCGCTATTAGCAGAATGGCCACAATGGCCAGTCAAGCTGTCCTGACCAGGTCCTGGTCCATTTTTGATTGTTGGAGGTAACTGCAATGTGCTGTGCTCTTTGTAGGTTAGAATCAACTTTCAAAAAGATCAAGAAAAGATTTTGAAAAAGATTATATATAGCATCACTTGAGTTATTGTATCTTTGAAGATTAAAATGTTGAGGGTCAATTAACCACAACCTTTGAAAACTCAAAAATTGAGTATGTTGAATATAATAATCAGATGTCCTTCATGTCTCTCGGAGTGACTTGATGGGCTCAGAGATGCAGGGGCAGTAAAGGAAGAACTTCCAGGGCGAAGTTCTGAGTTTGCCAGAGTATGTGAGAAATCCCCTTCCTGAGAGATATTTAAGAATCAGTTCATGACCCATCCATCTGGAATGGTTCTGAGGAAGCTGCCTGGGGGAGGGGAGATTTTGTAATAGGATCAATGGACAGTCTTCCTGCCCTGAGGCTCTGAGACCCTGCAGACAGCTCGCTTACAAGTCTGTGCAGGGGACCGTGTGGCATCATGGCTTTGCATTCGTTGATTTTATCTTTTGCAAGATCCCTGGTATAATGAGATGTTTAAAATTGTTCTAAGTTTCAGTTGTTATTTTTA